TGCGCGGCGGCTTTCGTCGTTCCTCGGCTACTCAACGGTGAAAGAAAAATATTCGTTCACCGATTCTCGTACGTATACAATGCAAGACACTCATTTTATGGATCTTTTCATCATCCCTATGATTTCATTTACACGGAAAAATAATGCTAGAATCAAATAAACGTAATCACTTATCTTTTAGTCTCTTTAATCAAATAATATTTTTATGAATTTAAATATATTTTAAATTTTATAGCTTGTAGTAAATATTTGCATTTTAGTTTGACCAAGTAAATATTACTCGAACGATAGCGCTTATTTTCAACGTAGAAGTAAGGGAACGCAAATTGCAGTGATGATGAGAGATAAAAAGTAAACGAGAAGACATTATCCGAAGCGCGAAACACACATGCGCGTCATCTCAATCGCGCGTTTCATTTTAAACGCCGCCGGGAAAAATGTGATACATCAACTACATCGTTATATCATCGGCATCTCATCGATAGCTCCACTCTCATTTTACATAATGACGCACGAATTTCGAGACAGTGGGCCTCATCAGCGCGAGATTTCCGCGCGTCATCTCGCCGATCGGGCAGAGATTGCCACCTCGAGTCACTCCGATACGGTATACAATGTGAGGCTTAAAAGGGAACGTCGACAGCTCCATTTGTGCGGCGCATTCGGATCGCGCCTCGGTAATCCGACGACGCCCATTGTCGCCGCGATCGCGCGCGTCATCGCGCATCCCGGAGACCCTTGATTAACCTTCGACAGTCGCGCATTCATAACGCGAACGATGATGCGAATTCGGCCCGGTCACGTTGCGAAACGAATGGGGCCGTTGCATCGGCGCGTACGCATCTGTGAGAGACCACCTGTTGCCCGGGCGATCTCACCTCAGGACTGTCCACGAGAGCCCGCGAAGCGCCCGCCAGGCAGATTGCGAGAGACGTCGGGCGAAAATGATTAATAAGAATCGGCTCATCTGTTATACCCGCCTGTGTGCAATCTCTCTCTCTCTCTCTCTCTCTCTGGAATTCCGTTTCAATTGAATTCGCGCTTACACAACCTCCGCGCGCTCGTAGGTCATCCCGGACCGTTTCCTGGTAGATTTCAAGCGCAAATCAGCTTGCGTTTATGTTACATCGACGCGGCGATAAATTTTCTACGAAAATAGAATTTCTTTTAGTATTCAAAGTGAATATTCAGCATATGCTCTGAATATTCAGCGTATGCGAAATCGCGTATAGGAGAATACGATTTTGAACAGAGACACCGAGAGAGGGGGGAGGGGAGGAGAAAAAAGGCGAAGACAAAAAGAAGAACGACGTCGTTCTGATCCTGGAGCCGGAGCGACGCGGTCTCCGAGTACATAAATAAATCCGCCGAGCATATTGAGCGGTCATATTTCATGGCGGGCAAAAAATGCGAACGTCCCTCGGAAATCCGATGTCTCAATCCGTCTGTGGGATCTCGTCGATATTCCGAGCGGTCAATTAAGGCATGCCTCCCAGATGTCCCCTGATGTCTCTGGTCCTTACGCACAGACGCACGTCGACGGACGACGATAAGTCGTACAAGCTGGGAAACGGTATTACGCGCCGCGCGGTATCTCGCGGTATGCCCCGACGGACGATGCTCATTCTCTCTTTCTCTCTCTCTCTCTCTCTCTCGGGTGCTTACGCCCCGATCTCTCTTCCTGCTCCGCCGTCTCGTTACTTACTCCTTATTTACCCGCCGGACACACTGAAAGATACAATCTGCCGAAGGATCCGTGGAAGATGGAGAGAGCCAGCCAGAAGAAACGCCGGAGAAAGCGAGATGCTTCCTAGCCACCCAAGAAGAAACGTCGTAATAATTAATATCGACGATCGCGGGCGACGATACTCGATGCTGTCCGGTATCGACCGACTTGATCGAAGGGAGGACGGGGGAGAATTCCCCGAGATTCGAGGATTAGATCGGTGTACGCAGGTGTGAGCCAAGTAGGACGCTGGGTACTCGGCCCCGCGGGCTATAATGAATAAAATCTCTCGTTGCACGTCGATTATTCTCGAGGCTGGATATATAAATGAAGGACTCGAGGCAACGGCAGGCCAGCGAGGGGCACACGAGAGCGAGAGAGCCTCGTCACTCTCCTTATCTGTTCTTTTGTAGGGTTGATTATGAGGGGGCGCCGATTGAAAATTCCTTTATTCTCCGGCCAAGTATTAAGCGCGATGACTCCGAGACTCACGCGTGCCGGAGAATAATGATTATTCCTCTCGTTATTTCTTTAATTCACTCGCGATGTATGCGTAATGAGCGAAATCACTGTCTTAAGCGTCACGAACATGAACACGTTTCCGTGCGAATGCCTTAACCCTGTTTATTCCATCTCTCTCTCTCTCTCTCTCTCTTTCTTACGGTGTGATTCTCATTTTAACGTCTCAGATTAAAAAATATATAATAATGACGATAAATTTCGAACGTGAGTTACACGGAATAATTATCGAGGCCGGGCAGAGATCGATGAGCTTCGAATTAATGAACATCAGATACGTCGACTTCGCGCGAACGTCGGCGTGATCAAAGCCCGACGAGGCGTATCGGAAGAAGCGTTTCGAAATCGGACTCTGCCAAGGAGGCACACGATTTTTCATTGGATTTCGACTTCTTAACGGGAGACGACGCGGACATCGTCCGTTCCGTCTCTCTCGCTTGTGAGTAATATACATCCTCGCGTTCTTAACTTCTTACACGCCGGATTATCGGACTTGCACTCGCCTCTTAATAGACGCTTTATTCCGAAACGCGATATACCTTAAAAGCCGAGAACGATAAAAACAGCCGATTAATTTACTGCGGTTCCATAATCCCTTCCAGGTAAATTCTCCTCTCTCTCATCGAATCTCGTCATCCCTCCCGCTCTCTCTCTCCCTCTCTTTCTTTCTCGGATTATTGTTCAACCCTTTCCCCCTCTCTCCGTCGCTCTGCTGCAACTGAACAACACACAAAATAGAAACAGAAGAGCGCAACACAAGCTTACTCCCGCCTAATGGGCAGGAAGAAATCGACCCGGAGCTTATCACTTTAATGGAAACCTTTATGGAGACCACTTTAGGTGTTATCTTCTCGTGTCCGCGACGAATTCTGGGTGGTTGTGCACACGCCGGGCAAGCCGCACTCTTCGGCTGCATGATACGCAGCCTCCATGCTCCGGTTATTGAGTTAATGGAAAGATATTCTGGTAATTCCCCCCCCCCCCCCCCC